ATCTGTATAGTAGATTTATCGTAATGTTGAAAGCATGATTGTTAATCATTTTTTATTTCACATACAATTGTCAATTGTCTCAATTATTTAGAACAGAGAAAAAACTTCGTCATATGAATAAATTTTCTTATATTTGTCTATCCTTTTATTTTACTACATTGATAATTGATTAGATGCTAATAATTGTATATTATTAAATAATTTGATCCCAATCAATAATTATATTTATTATATTTCTATTCTCTGCCAGATAAACCCACAAAAATAATAATAACCAGATACATAAACATTGTACAACAAAAGAAAACAAACGAGAGAAAATAATAATAATATTAACAACAAAAAAATATCGCTCGATATCAGAAAAGAAAACGCCTAATCAGAAAACAACAACGAATATCTGACCAAATAACAAAGCAAAACGAAAAACAATAAAGAATTTGAATACTCTTTTTGAAAAGGAAAAAAAATAAGGCTAATCAAATTACGTCGATTATCCATTCTTTTTCAATGTGCTCAATTTTCTGTTGTTCGAGCAATACTAATAATTTTCTAAAGAAATAAACCAAATGAATGAAAATATTAAAAATTGATAACATGATCTCTTACTGTTGATTTAACTTGAGCAACACAAACGACAGCAGGTTGAGTTCGATAAGGCAACATATTATTTGATGTATTATGAACTACATCACTGAAATCAATAGATTGATAAAAATTTTGAAGACAACAAAAAATATTTCATTTTTACCCGGCACGATTAAATGGCGAAGAACGTCGTCGTCGAGCGGAATGTGGTGAAAGACTAATACGAAATGGTTGTGATGTTGTTCTTCATATAAGAAAAATAAATAGTTAAATAATATATATATATTAATTTTTATTGTTCTTACTTGACATTTTCATAAGGAATATTTTTGAGCTGATTTTCATCTAAACCAATAGGTTCTACAAGCTCAAATCTATTGTATAGATAAATATATCGAAAGAAAAACATAAAAAAAAAAAAAAATTTTACGTACTTAATGGCATCTAAAATTTCCGATGGCATTTGTTTTCGAGGAGATTTACTTCGCCTAAATTCAATAAACAAATTTAATTAATAGTTCTTTTAATGTACAAATAAACATGGATGTTCTGAGAGGGGCATATTAGATAGAACAAGAAAGCCAAGAGCAATCCCTACAATTAATACAGTTCATAATAACTTGGTTTTTTGTGTAATTATGCTTCTGACATAATGCTGATTATATAACCTTTTTTTACTCGTCAAATTTCTGAGACCTTGATCAGCGAATTTTTGTAGTCATTTTGAAACTTCGCACAAATAGTGTCCTTAACGAGAGTTATTCATTAAAGAATTTTCAGACATTTCAGTTGTTTCTGTCGTGAAATACGAATATAAGCAAAAAATTTGCTTTATCACATACCAAAATTTCCAATACTCTTAGTTTACAAATTATTGAAGCTTTCAAAATGAACTAGTCCAATTACGAAATTTATTTGTGCAAAGTTTCAAGTCAAAATTCAATTTCGTAAGAATAAGTAATTTGTACACATAAATCATCCTACATTATTTCATAGTGCGCTATCACTCATCGAATTAACATAGTCTCAATTCAAAACTGATTTAGTTCACAGAGACGTTTTATCATGAGCTATCAATGTTGGAAGATAATTACATCAAAGTTAAATACTATTTATGGATTGTCTTTAGAACTAAACCATCAATATAAAAATTTTGAAAATGTATGTTTAAGATTGTATTATGTATTTGAAATTTCATCAATCTTAAAGTTAAACAATCATAAGAGAAATCAATAGTAAGGAATCTAATGTTAAATGCAAGGAGGAAGTAACTGATTTCGTGATTTCAAATTAGCGGTTTGATTTCAGATAATTTCGAGGGATTTCAAACGATTTCAAGTGATTTCAATTGATTTCGGGCAAAATCGAAATTAATTGAAACCAGTTTCAGGACAGGTTAAAATCATTCGAAATCGCTCGAAATGAACTAAAAATCATGCGGAATCATATAATATTACTTAGCGGTGTACCAGGCTGGCAATGACCGGTAGGAAGACTCACCGAGACTGAGGCTGAAAGTTTTGACCTCGGTGCATCCCTGAAATCGCCTGAAATCATTTGAAATCAGTTTTTTCTTCTTCTTTAGTGACTTGGTCAAATTGCAGGTGATTTTCAAATGATTTTAACTGATTTCGATGATTTCCGCATTTGAAATCAGTTTCTTTCCCCTTGGTTAAATGTGAATTGCATTAGTCACTAGTCATTATTTTTTGGTATATCACGAGTAAACTTTTAGTTCTAGTGCGGCAGATGGCGTTTTAGAACGTCCGCAAGACTTTTATTATGTAGTAAACATAAAAATCTGTATAACTTTATAACACTCATAGCAACTTTAATGGCAGTTATATATCAGGTTCACACATCAAAAATCGATTTGGTCGTCTGACTGTCCACTCTACAGGAGTGACTTCAATCTTGGTAACCTCAGGACATTTCTGTAAGTAAACTTACTTGCGACGGCGAACAGCTGCTCTTTTATGTCGTGAATTATCAGGATTATCAGTATCATCACATGTTGTTGTTTCATGTGATGTATTTGCACTCATAAAATGATTTACATCAGGTGAACTTCTAAAATCATAATAAATAATTATACGTGAAAAAATCATTTCTATATGTTTTACTTGGCACGTTTACTTCCATGAAGAATAATTTGACTAAATTGCAATTCATGAATAGATCTAAATGTTTAAGAAGTAAAATAAATAGGTTTTTTTTTCTTAGGAAAGAATTTCTTACCGACGCTTTTCTTTGTTTAATTCGAGAAATTTTTGTTGTTCATTTTCACTTTCATTCGCACAGGCACTGAAAAACAAATAGAAAAGATAATTAAAAACAAAGAACTTTTTATGTATTAACTCACACTGATCGTCTTGCAAAAATATCATTTTGTGAATGACGACTATTAACATTAACAACTTTATTGATTGAAGCTGATGAAGATTGCTTTTTGAGAGTACTTAATTAATAATAGAGAAGATAGTTAAAATAAAATTTCAAAATATTTCTCTTATAATTTAACCCTTCATTCCTTCACCTTGATCGATGGAGTCACCGTTATAAAAAACATGTCTTGGATAAGAAAATATTTTGCTGTGTTGCTCAATAAATTATAGAATAGATCATTCTTTACAAAATGAGTTGTTTCCGAAATCACTACGACGTTTTTTCATCGAGTCGCTCTCCTCTTAATGGTCACACGAGTGTGCCTGATCGATCTGTCTATAATATCGATATACCAGAGACACCAATATTCTTTTCTAATAGTTCTATTTCATCAGTCAGTCTTCAGAAGTCGTTATGAAGAGGTAAACAGTTAACAAGTTAAACAAAAGCATAAAAGTATTATCAACATTATACGTACAACAGCAAGCGAGAAAGTTTATTACAAAAGCAAGAACTTTTGCCATTAAAAAAAATTTACAAAAGCGTTGAGATAATCACAAAATTTTATCTTACTTGTGAAGATGTCTGTAGAAAATTAATTTCTTTATTTTCTGAAATGAAATATCGCTCAATAAGTTATAAAAAAAAACGTATTATCAATTTATAGAAACATTCTACTTAGAATAGAATCACTATTTTTCATTTTATTTACTTACTATCGTTTCGTTCCCGACTCAGTCATTGTACTTGAATTTGATTTCGCTCGTTCTTTTTGGGATCTTAAAAAGAAAAACCAACATTGTCTATACCTCCTACATAAAAAAAAATTGTTCTCACTTTGCTCCTGTCGATGAAGTAGTCACGCTGGTCGATATGTCTACAAAAAATAAAAAATAAGAAAGCTTGTGAATGCAAGCGATAGGAGACTGAAATGTGGAACTCATATCTCTTTCTTAGCCAGATTAGAATAATAAAAAAGATGCGTAAATTGAAAAATCTCCTATAGGTTATCGTTGTTTTATAAGAGTAAGGATTTGTTTTATTTATTTCTGCATATGAAACAGAATTATTTTGTCATGGGCGCCCTACTCTTTGTTTGCATTATTGCAATTTGCTTGTTATTGGTCATTTTCGTATTTCTTAATATAGTTTTGTTATTATCCTAAGCATCAAATTACATGGCCATTGAGACTTTTGTAAATATGCATTATTTTATACAGCAGCAGATCTCAAGGCACACTACTATATATCTCAATTAATAATCTAACACTGATATTGATTATTTTTCCAAAATTATAGTGCTCGATTCTCGATTTTTATGTTGGTCATATGACAACTATAGCCAATCAATGTATCAATATAAACCTATTCCAGCCATTCAAATTTTGACGAAAATTCTAGAACAGTCAAAATGTTGTCGTTAGAGCCTTTTTCCATTTCTAAGGAACTCGAGAAAAGAAGCCTAATATCGATTGTTCTCGATGGGTGTAGTCGACAATAGGAAAATGAGGAGTTAAAAAACATCTACTTAAAACTTACATTCACTATTCCTCTTCGAAAATATATGAGTTCCACAATATTCAATTAAAAAAATTCACAACGATTATCATACCACGTTTAAGAGAATATCTCTTTACTGGTTGTTTTGTATTTGATTGTTTGTCTTCATCTCGAACTCCATTTCGAACCGGTAAACATCCACACAATTGCATATTTTAATTTATACTAATTCAATTTATCCAAAAAAAAAAACAAATGAAAAGAAAAACTTATACATATATATATACGTATAAATGGTGTTGTTTGAAATATATGTATAAAGACGTGCAACACCACGAGAAAACAAAAGAGAATTGATCTGTGTGTATCATTGGCTCAAAAAAAGGGTTATAGAATAAGACGATTGTGTATCACAGTACGGGAAATAAGCATTGCATCGCATCTGTATGTGAAGGGAACGTAAAGAAAACGACGGATAAATAATAACAATAAGAGAAATAAAGAGAAAGAAAACAAAATGTATTTGTTCAAGAACGCTCGCAAGCATTTAATAATCGTAAATTGTCATCGAATAATTGTCTCAATGATAAATCAGAAATATTTTTTAGTCGATCTTCAAGTAAACATCGAATTTCATGTAATACATGATGACATGTTTGACATTTGTCACGTCTAAATTTGATTTTTTAAAGTACTGTATAGAAGAAAAAAATTTTTATTTACCGTGCTTGTTGACTCAGATCTACACCAATTGATTTAGCTCCAACATTATCATAGATTAATTTACCAAAATGTGAAAGAATTCGTTCAAGTGTTTGACATCCTGTTAAATTGTACCTAGAATTTGAAAATGTCAAAAATATTTGTAAGATTTTTTCATGAAAATTTTGTACAAATAATAATGAGATTTGATCAGATCGCGTACAGCTGGTAAAATTGATGCACATAATTCGAGTGTCCAATCACGTCTAAATAATGACAATAAAAATATGAATGTAAAATTTTAATTTTTTTAAAATTCATGCTTTAGATGAATGATTATTTCTCTATAGAAGATATTATATTGTGTCAATGTAAATAAAGAAAAAGATGGAAATAAATTAAGCTAGATTATAAAAAAGAAAAACATTTAGTTATGATTAAATTACGTCACGGATTATGCTTATCTACGTTTGTAAGAAAAATTTTAAATTTAGATAAAAACAAAGAAAACATCATTTCATTATGAAAGAGATGGAAAACGATTATGAAAGTATACACTTGAACATTAATAAATCTATGATTTATCAAAGAAAGTAGATTAACACATTCGACCCGATGGGGTCCACCGCGGTGGACCCCACTTTGCATTTCATATTTTTATCTCTAAATACGTTTTATTAATAAAGCAACATATACCATAAGATTCAGCGTGAAAAGCTCTACAATCTCCATAGTAAAGCTTATTTTAATTGTGTAATTTTTGTTTTGAAAGAAAGTAAAACTCCGTATAACTAGTTTTCGAAGCTGCGAAACGATCATTTTTTTTTGCACGAATGTGAAATTTCATTTTTCTTGTTTCATCTTTTTATCGCCTAATATTATTTCGTAAGAAAAAACAAAATATAGCACAAGATGCAGTGTGAAACGCTCTACAATATACATCGTGAAGTTTATTTTTTGTTTTCGAAAAAAGTAAAATTCTGTGCAATCAATTTTCGCAACCTCAAACATTGGTCACACACTATTTTAGTTTATTTTGAAAACAAAAAGTACACAATTGAAACAAGTTTTATGATGTAGATTGTAGAGCTTTTCATGTTGCATCTTGTGGTATATTTTGTTTTCTAAAACGTATTTAAAGATGTTAGTTTCTATGAGATTTGAATCGGGGTGAATGTGTTAACAAAAGATACAAAATCGTTTATCCGATGATCTTGTCAACTTTTAATCAGTTTCTAAAATCACTTAGTCACTAAGAATAAGTGATCGTTCAATGGAAGAAGTTTTTTTTCTGTTTGATACTATTAATCTGTTTCAATCTTGATTGCATGGATTTAGAAGATTTATTTGTCTATAGGAACTCAGAAAAACCAAAATCATCCAACTGAAATAACTGCAATTTAAACAAAACATGTACTGATTAGACTTATCAAAATATCTTGATGTGTAAGTTTTTGTCTTTTAATTTTAGGGGCATTGTGGATCAATAATAAAAACTGTTCATATAGAGATCTCAATTAGACTAGCTACAATAAAATAATTCAGAAGTTTTAAACAAAGTCACTTCAAAATATAGAACTTGCAAGATATAAGCCGTTTTGTATAGTTGTTGTATGCAACATACACTTGGTGAAAGTGTCATATGTTGCAGAGGCTTTGCTAAAAACTTATCAATTCATTTATGAAAGTTAGTCTAGCTGAATTCTCTATATATGCAAGGTTTTAGACCGAAATTCGATAGCTTAGTCAAATATCAATAGGACCCAAATTCGTTTTAGCATTTTGATTAGAACACTACGTAATATCTTTAGGTAAAAAATCATTGGAATTAGAATGAGAAGTCTGAGAAGGTTCTCTCGTTAATTAGAACATAATTTAAGAATAAAAACATTGACCACTAGTATACATAATTTTGTATTTATTTTTTAAGTAATTCATATCTCTTTAAACAAAGTCCTTTTTTTCCAGTTCATATTGAGTTATCAATGGACTTTTATTTTCTAATATTTTTGAATGTGATATAATTTCTATGAAAATGTTTCAAGTGCTAAGTAACCTGATAAAGACAAAAGCGTTCAACAGAATTAATGCTTTATTGTTCTTCGAGGAAAACATTGCTACGTACTGCTCTAACTTCATATAAAATTCTCTTCGTGTTTTATAATAAAAAATAATCAATATCGATTGTTAAAAATTATATTTACTTGGCTAGTTTTTCAATAACAAAACGTAATAAAAAGCATTCAAGTGACAGATCATTTGAAGTAATAATTGCTTGAAAAGTTGTCTAAAATGAATCATCAAAAACAAAACTAACTTATAAAATGTTGACAAAAAATATTACTTGTGTAGAATTATTTCGTGATAAATCAATTAATAAAGTTAAATTACTTTTACGTTGTTGTTGTACTGAACTAATCGTTTGATTAGCTTTTGATAAACTAGCAAAAATTTGTTCATTGGTTCGTGACTAAAGAGGTATAAATACAATGAGAAAAATCTTCTATTTATTTTACTTGTTCATTTTGAGTGACTGTAGGATTAGGCATTCGCATACTAGGCATTAACATATCAAGCTTTTAATAAAAAAAAAAAAAGAAGTTTTGTATTCTTAAAAAAAAGAAATAGAAAAACATTAATATTACTTGAGGTGGCGGTGAAGCAGATTGAGAAGTTTTTGGTTTTGTTGCAGCAGAAGTAGGTACTGATGTAACTTCAGTTGTTGATGACGTTTGTGTAGTGAATCCACCCGATGATGATGATGATGTAGAAGAAACTGTTGGTGGTGCTGAAATTCCTTGATGACTAGGCGAACGTGGTAAACGTGCTTTAGCACGAAAAATTCGATCATAATCAGCTTGATTATCAATCATAACACTATCAGCAACCGATGATTTTGATTCATCTGTATTAATAGTATTTGTTGGTTCTGGTTTAAGTCTAATAGATGAATTTTCTATGTAAGATGAAATTAATTAGAAAAATTCTATTACTTGACATGTTCATCTTTAACAGTCATTGCTTGATATAGACTTCGGCGACCGGACAGTGTAGTAGTTGCAATTGATGGCGCTTTGGGATCACTTGGAAAATAATCACGAACGGGTGATATACGTCGTTTTGTTTTTAAATTCTTTTAGAAAACTTTTTTTTGAAAGATTGTTTTTAATTATTTAAAACTTACTGAAAGATAAACGGAGCCAATACAAACTTCATTTTGTAAAACAGATGCTCCAAACTAGAAACAAAAGCAAAAGAGATCTGTAATAATATGTATCGGTTTAAGAGTCTTCCTCAGCTTTTTTGTCCTTTTGGGTTTTCGAAGAGACTAAGATTGATGCGCATGAAATTTTAATACAGATAGAGCACCTGAAATAAGGAGATGCGTCTTCAAAGATAAAAACTTTGAAGAAGAATTTCCAGAGAACTATATCAGAACCACATACGATCCCCGTTTAACATTGTTCGATTGGGCTGAAAGCTATTTTATGGACATCCTATCGACGATATCTTCACAGTAGAATTATGAATAAGTCTCAATAAGACTAAGAAATGCTTACAGCTACTCGTGTTCGTAGCCTACTCTTGCAGAGTTCAACGCGATGTAATGATATTTTTACTAAGGGCAAGGTACATTCAAAAAAAAATCCAAAACAAACAGTTTCAAACTGAATTAATGTCTATACATATGTTTGATAGTCATTATATTGACCTGAAACTTTTAATGAAAACGAACATATCTCTATTGAGATATTCAATTTTCAAGTGTAGACTCGATTACTGTGCTCATTTATGCTAAAATGACGGTATTTTTATATATTGATTATCTCGAGAAAAATATATTCATTTTCATAGATACTTTCAGTATAATTTAATGACCATCAAATATATCTGCAGACATTATTTCAGCTCGAAAATCTTCGTTCTAAGTTTTCGAAAATTCCTCGCCTTCCGTAAGAATTTCATTACAATGGTCATAACTCTTCAGTAGTAGACTAAGGACGTGAATCGTTTTTAAAGTTTCTTATTCTTACCGAGACATAATCGTAGCCCTAATGCAAAACTAAACGAGATGCGACAATTGAATACATTTCTTCGAAAGAGGTAGTTTTTAGTTTTTTTAAATATCTGGCTTTCTTTATTTCATGAGAGAAATCTATATATTCGAATAAAAGAGTCAAAAACAAAAACGACCAATTTCATCTCGAGAAAATATACTTTCAAGTATCGGTCACCAAAATTTCAATATAATTGGACAAAATTAATCAGAGGTTAAAAGCGGGCCTGATGTCAGCTTATAGAAAACTTAGTGTACAATTTTTTTGTCTCGAACATGTTTTCTTATTTTAGTTTCGTGCAGATTCGTTGCATGCCCTTGGAGAACCAGAAATGATTAAAAAAGAAGTGAAATATCATTAATAAAGACATACAAGTTGTTCTTTATGTATAGTCATGTCAAGAATATTTTTCCAACCCATTTGAACAGTGTCAAGTAATTGAACTGGTTCCCAATTATAAACACGTAACATATCATTTGATCCGGAAAGTATATAACTAGCATTTGTTGGTTCGAATGCTAAACATCTAAAAAATATAAACTATTTGGTAAAAACAAAAAAAAAACTTATTTTTATCATATCTCACCTAATTGCTGATGTTTCAATATCTGTTTCACAAATAAATTGAAGTTTTTCAAGATCCCAAAACTTAATTCGTCTAAAAAGATAAGTCTCAGTTATATTTATTACTCAATAATCAAATTATTTACCTATCAGCACCACCAGATGCAAGTAAAAGTTCTTTTGGATGATATTCAACCGCATATACAGGTCCTTGATGTTCTTGAAAAGCTTTTAATACTTTACCAGCTGTAACATCCCACATCTAATTTAAAAAAATAAATATTACTTCAACATAAATATATAATTCTTTTACTCGAATAGCTGTATCATCTGAAGCAGTAATTAAAAATCGTCCATCGGGAGAAAATTTTAATGCATTTATAGCTCCATTGTGTCCTTTATAGTTGAATATGAAACCTTTTCGTCTCGGATCCCAAAGCTAAAGTAAAATAACAAGAAAAAAAAACCTTGAGAAATAAGATTTCATTTTAACAAACCTTTGCTGTACCATCAACAGCACCTGTTGCTAGAAAATTATTACTTGATGGGAAATATTCAATTGAACGAATACATGTTTTATGACCGCCAGGATGTATAACTATGAGTATACAAAAGTTTTCAGAGTTTATTTAAAATAAAATGCTTTATTTCACCTTTTTGACTTTCAAGATCACAAATTTTTACTGCACCAGAACGACTGCCTGATGCTAATAAATTTTCTTCATTTGAAAATCTCAATGCTGTTATCACACTTGTTTGACATCGTGATGTCTAAACAAACACTCAATCAACGAACAAAAAATAAAATTAACATACAAGTAATGATGTTGGTTGACCAATCAAATAAATATGTATGGCATTATCATCACTACCCGTTGCCAATAATTTACCAGAACGATGGCCGAATGTTACAGTTGTTACATTCGTACCTGATTCACCGACGGGAAAGGATGCTAGAAGATATAAACAAACAAAATTCAATGAAATCAAAACATAACATTGATAAAAAATACATACATCGTTTGACGTCGCAACCAGAAATGCTCATAATAAAATATTTCTTTTTAAGATCAGGTATTTACCACCAGCAATACTACAAAGAGACAACTTGTAGAACAATTTTCTGTTGATTTCATTTCTTATTAAAGCCTAACATCAAATAGTCGAATTTTCTTAGGAATTATTTTACTATTAGACGAACAATTGTCATTCTTCATTGCTTAGTTGAAAAATTAGGAATCTTATCAATTTGTATTTTGTGAATTTCGATCAAAAAAAATATAAGAGGATATTTTAAACAAAAGAAATGATCTTAAATTACATAACGCTAATGCTTCTCAACAGTTTTCTTTTTTATCAATAATATTCAAAAGCCCATGTGACCACGCTTAAAGACGTATTTATTCTCGATAATATTTACTGCACATATGATTCAGATCATGCATTCTAAAACAAAACTTCTGTTGCGATGGGATAAATAGTGAAACAAAGAATGAGTTCGAGTACCAATTCAGTTGGTTAATTTTATATCGTAATCGACAATACTAAATAGGTGGCGCTATGTAACAATAGTTTTGATTTTTTAAACGCTTTATTTCTTAGAATTATATTTCAGATAGTGATTGTTTTAACTCTTGAAATTTCTTCAGTTAATAAAAACGACTTTTATTTATCAGTAATTGTCATTTAATTATATAAAACACTTCAGATTTACAATATTCAATATTTACTCTCATCGAAGACTGGAGAAATTGACTTAAGATTGTGTAATTACATTCAATTTTATTGTATTTCTCATTTGAACTTGTAGAAGAAGACATATGTAGCGTTCTTAGCTTGCATGAGAAAAACTTTAAATGACGATAATAATACTGATTGATTCATGAATTTTACTTATGATAAACTTAATATGACTTACTGACATTATCTTATGTAAAAGGAAAAAATCTGTTCAGCATCATTTTGTTGTAACTGCGTAAATCTATCTTTTAATGTAATATAAGCATCGTAGCGTTCACGCAATATCATAGTGTATGAATTGATAAATATTAGCCATCAAAAATCATAATATCTATTGCGTCTTTGTATTCTGAAAAGACGTATAAGATACTTGTATCGACTAATAAGCTGACGAAATTCTTTTTTTGTAAAATATTTATAGTAGTATGAAAAACAAACAAAAATTAACATGGATAGTATGAATGAAAAAAAAAGATATTCAAGCATGACAAGTTGATTTCATAGGACTTGAAACCGTGGAAATAGTCATAACTATCAGAAAAGAAGTCTTTAGTGGATATTTATTGTGTTGAAATAGTTCATGGCAGCATTCGTATGCAAGTTTGATTAGGTTGAATAGTTGTTTATCGTTCAATAGTCTTACTTATAATGATAATAGTAGAAACTAAATTAACCGTCAATAAATAGAAACATACGTAGTTGTACTTTTTTGTTTTAATAAATTCTGTTCTTATATGGTATCCATTGCACGAACTATAGTCACACATTCATTCAACCACGGATCGATGCTCAGACATATTCATAAATCAATGTTTGTAGACAAGTTGGGTTATATACTAATAATATTGAACTAAACAATCCAGTTTCATTGGATGCTTAAATTTCAATCAATTAAATAAATTTCTTTGACTTTATATAGACAACTATGAATTTCATCAGAAAAAAAAAACAAGATAATAGTGAAAAAATGGTCTTGACATAGTGAATGATAATATATAATATGGCCAAGAAGATCGAATTTAACCATAGTTTTATTGAATACTTGATTAATGTGAAGACATCGATCTAATGACTTTAGTATTTTGATGGAGCATATTGTTTGAATGATAATTCAATAATAATTTTTATTTAGTTACTCGACAAAAAGGCTATTTGAAATGGTTGTGATAAACATTGTTTCGAACAAAAGGTATACATTGACTACCATATTGACAAGCCATATCTTGATCATCCTGACACAAACAATTATTGCATAGATATTAAAAGTCTAACTTCTTCATAAGGCAAACATATAAAGATCGAGTGCTAGCAGGAACACTGATATGTAACGAATTTACAGAACATCTACGTGTTGTATAAAATGTCTAGTAGACGAATCGAAAACTGGCTGCCGTTGCGACTAGAATTGACGTTTCAGCATAAACTACGCTCGTTTGAATTCGTCTTTTCCTCAATTTTCATGTCGTCTTTTACATTGGATTGAGAAAGAAAGTCTTAATCTGATCGTAAGACAATCTTTGATGACCAGTATCAGATAACTCTTGATGATCTATCTAAACTATCATCGTTAAGTGAGCCATACTCGACTATTTTCTTGGAATGCTTCGATGAAACTGTACTACATTTCATTCTTTTTTTTTATTCATATGAGATTTCAATTAACTGTTTTGGAATTATTTCATACACCAACTGCTAGCTTTTAGGGGAAACAATACGATAATATGACACACGATCTTCAAAAAAGTCTACGTTTCATGCAACACAATAATCAACATGACGTTCATTATCACATTATTGGAAAAAATATACATTTTCGCATTTTCTTCATCCATCACTTTTCTTCATTGGTAGGTATTTTCGATAGTAGGATCTATTCTTTTGTATTTTTGATACTTAACGAGAAATCGATTCCATTTTCGAATACAATATTGCTCGTTGTATATCGAACTAGTAGAACCTAGACATGGACGGGTCACCAGAGGACAATCAAGAGCCATGACCACATCAAAAAGAATACTTAGTAGCATGTAAAAGGTTGAAAGCCTTCTTTTTTTTTCTTTTATAATAATAAAATATTCCAATATACTGTCCCACCTCAATATATCACGTAGGCACGCCTAAGTCAATCATAGAAAAACAAACGAATCAGCATGCTTATTTCTTTTACACTTTTCTCAACAATGTTCATTGTTGAATGGATTGACATATCAATTTTCGAATTTGCACTGATTTTAGGGTGTGAATGTTGGATGTCAATAAAATAGAGGCCTTGCTTTCATCAAACATTCAATTAACTCACACCCACCACTCCGCATCCATCTATCAGAAACTATGATCACCACTTTATCATGATATTTACTTCTAAGACCAATATGATATAGTTATATACTGGGTGTTAGAAGAGTTCGTGAGAAAATTTTTCGGTGAGTAACACTAAAATAATTCAAACGATTTAAATATTATTTAAATAATAGTATAGTGTATTCTTTGAAGTATTGTTTTGCATAATTGCAGAAAAATGTTTGAAAGCGAAAAGAAAAATGCATGTAAAATTTGGCAAAAAACGTTAGACATACCCTCTTTCGATATACTGTTTAGTGATTTTTCGAAATCAGTATAGTAGTAAATAGATAACAATCAGAAAGAACTGAATAATTACGCAAGAAAAACATCGGCAAACTTCATGATGATTGAGACAGTATGGCAATATTGAGTGTGTGGATTTTTACAATAGGGTCTCTAATTTCATGATCAACAGTAAGTCGATTTATGACTAAATATCTTCCAATACAGCTATAACAAGTGCAATATCTCCAATGGCTTCATAAAGAACATTGAAAAGATTGAACTGAAATAATATCGATTTGATGTCAATGTTAGACTAAATCAACAACGAGAATAGTTTGTTTTCTTTTAGATGAAACATTTCTCCGTTTATATGGTTAATGGATTAATATAAAATGAAGATCTATGTGTATAAGACATATAAAAATTTGGTTGAATTCATAATAAGAACGGATAACCGAAATAAGCTAATTCGAAAATTAATTTTTTGTTTAATTTTTTTAAGATTTCGAAAATGATAGATTTATGTATTTGAATTGATGATTATCATTATGAACATTTGTCGTAAATGAAATTATACAGAATAAAACTTAGAGAAATTCACTATCATTTTATAAAACAAACAAATAAATCGCTTGAATTATATTAGAGATATTCATCTGAACTTTTCTCATGGATTTTTGCAATATCGCGTAGGTCCTAATATAGCTTTCGTTTCTAATTTTTCTTTTACTAACATAAAGAAACTTACATCTTTAATATGTATTAACGATTTTTTGGCCAAGAATTTGATAATTTTCTGAAAAAGTGTAAAAAAAAAGAAAGTCAGCGAAAAAAATTTGGGCCTTATTACGATCTAGCCTTAAATGTACTCTACAATTTATATATCACCCCGACATGTTACCAGGTAGCCTGATTTTGAAAACCGTCCCCAAATAAAGAATGCATTTGGCCAATGAATTGACTATAACTCGTGAATATTTTGGAGTTTTATGAAGATATTCTACTCATGATGTGTCCTAATCAGGTCTAATATTCTCCGCAGTTTTAGTTCAAATAGAATGAAAAAGGAAAAAATTTACTTCTGAAAGCGTTCTTCTTAAGCTTTTTTTAAGACTAAACTAAATGAATATGAAGTTGCTTTCATGTAGAGACTTTTATGAAGAGTTTCTCGTTTGGACCATGTAGAACTATAATTTTCAAGAATTCCTCCATAGGATGAGAGAAAATCATAAAGTAAATTTTCGTCGCAATTGTGCTCATTCACAGGTATAGCAACCATCTAGAGGAGTAATACAAGATGACGAGTTTTACAAATCTGTTAGTAATGGCTTTGACAGAAGTAGGCATGTTAATTAATTGGATCGTATCTATGTGATTTCTGTAAAATTTGGATAAAATTTCTCTAGGAACTTTGTACGAACATCAGCAATCTCCAACTAAAAAAGATTTCGCAGTAGACAACACTTCGATTCAATCTCATGAAACGTTTTATTTTCCAAGAGTTTGGGTTTCATTACCAATATTCTCGAAAAATATGTTCGACTCTATTTGAATAGAGCAAAATAAAATTTCGTGTACGAAATATGTCAAGACAAACCATAGACTGTAATTTGCCAAATGTAAACTGTTCTATGCTTCTTTCAGAAATCTTTCATGTTATAACTTTTTTTTAACAATCTAACAAATGCGTTTAATAAGACTCATAGGTTGTGAAAAATAAAATGCTTCTATTTCTAATCTTTGTTTTTTCGTAAATAGATTTAATGTTAATAATTGTTTCAGATGAAATCAAAAGTTTGAAGACAAAGCATGGCACTCTACCTCCAGGTATCGATTTATTTATTTTTTTTTGACTTGTCAACATAGGTCTTTGCATTTGATATGAATGAATAAAGGCAATTCCATCGCTGATTTCTTTTTTTCACTATATTTCTCATACCGTTTTAGGAAATACACCATTATCATTGCAGAATGTGAGACGAAAACAGAACCTATTCATCCAATGGACCAAATAATTATTCTCGATATTCAAGTACACGATCGTGATTACGTTACGTTAGATGCAGTTTATTTATTTTCATACAAGATTTTGTTATAAATGCGGCATTTAAACAAAATTAAGAATTCCATACCAACGAAGAAATATTGAGTGCATATAAGAGAGCAATCAATCTTATTCAACATGATGAAAACACGATCATACGATGTGTCGATTTCTTTAGTTCAAAATTCAAATCAATTGCATAATGTATATGTCATCGAAATATATTTTAAAATCACACGAAAACAGAATCCAACGTCACGTTAATCTTTATCTCATACAAGTATCAATGAAAGCAGCATAGTTAATCAACATAGTTCTTTTTTAGCTGACTTTTCACAGTGATTATGCTGATTCCCTGTATCATTCCAAATCAAAGTTTAATATCTTCACAGAAATTTTATTTTCATCTATTCCTTAGTAAATTATTCAATTCTATATTATTAAGGAAGAAAACCTTTGTCTCATTAAACTTCACAATATATAGACAAGTATTATTTGTTTTATCCGACTAATAGCTAATCATAGAGATTAAAGTAGAACCTGAATATTTTCAAAAGCTAATAACATCATATTGTAGAGAACACTTTGCGGTGTCAGGAAAAGAATTTCGTTTTATCTTTTCTTTATGTATTCTAGAAAATTATGCACTAAATCAATTTAACGCGTCTGTATAAAAATTTTTTGTTGATTTTGTAGAATCAAAGAAAACGATCGAAAAAAGCTAAAGAGCGAGTAAAACTGAATAGTCAAATGATTCTGGTCATACAAAATTAGAGCTTTGTTCTCATCTAATTTTCATCTACTTAATGACTATAGGAAGATCACGGAGATGATCTTAAAGATTAATCAATTCTGACGTGAATCTGTTAGTAAAAAAAGGTTCTTATTTTATTTTACATCAAATTGGCAGAGAATTTTCTCCAGTTGCTCAATGTACTTTGATATCTTTGTACGAAGTAGCTAGTGGACCGCTCTTTTTTGCTTGTTATTCGTTTCTGTTAAGCAAAACAACTCAACATGAGTATTGGATTGATAGTGATTGAGCCACTTTTAGAGTTGCACAAAAGAACGAAACATTATGGGAACTATAGATTATAAACGTAATTATTCAGAGAAAACCTTTCCAAAACTAATGAAAAATATAGATAACCTATGATATGGCATACAAATTCGAGCAATCGCTAAGAGCCACTATACTCTCGTTTCAAATATAACCGATAACCGATAGAAAATTGAAAGTATGTTACATTAATAAGATGTGGGTGGCAAGAAAACACACACGTATAATTACAGTTGCACTCACTCACAGCCACACCCAGCTCCTAGTGCTGTCAAATAATTGACAGCTTCTTTATTGCAAGCACATGTGGCACAATAGAATGCAGTATGTCTCGTCTGTGGATCTTGTGCATTTATATCTTGTAGTATAGCATTTTTTTAAACCAGTCTTTAATTCTTTTGTAAGTTCAGGTTCAGCAGGTAATTGTTGTAATGTATATTCTTCTAAAGGTACATCTGTTATCCATTCTCTATCTTGATCATATTTTTTTACATCTATCATGATTAGATTATATTTCATAAGAACGAAAAAATTCTCAAAACACCTCAGCGTCAGTTTTATGATTTCCTAGGCTTTGAAATCGATAGTATTTATATTGAAGAATTCGTGTCCGATGTGCTAGACGTAATTCATAATCTGTATCACTTCTTTTAATCCAAGTATTTCGTATGAAGTTGACGTAAACACTGCTATCCTTTTTTATTCTTAAATGCAAACTGTCTCTCACAAAAAAGAAGAGTTCTGCTTATCAAAAAAAAACAAAATACTCTGACGAATACTTCTTTATCTTTCTTTATTCAACTTTTTTCTATCGTATTCTCCTACTTCTCTGAGGTTTTTACGATCATGATTTATAGTCAGCATCTTTATGGGAAAGATACAAAAACATTATAATTATTCTGGCAATAAAGTCTAGATTTCACAATTGATACACATTTCGCCACTTATCACTTTTTTATTCTAGAAACTTTTCTTTCTCATGTAAGGTAACATAGGTGTAAAACAAAGAATAGTCCTTATAGATAATACTGAAGAATTGAATTTTTTCTATTTATCTAGCCATATCCTTTTAGGCTTATCTCTTTTCAGTTTTTGTTTATTAATTCAAGTATCTACAAAAGAAATTTCGAAAATCTACGTTTGAACGCGTTCTATTATGAATTCGCATGTTTTCCTTGGACTTGAAGCGCATTTTTCTCCGATAAAAGTCTTTTTCTTTTTGTTTATTCGTGATAATTATTTTATCATATTTACGTCATTTTGTTAAACATTTCTTAGTAACTTCTTCTCTGAATACTGTAAAGATTTTGAAAAACATATATTGTAGTCTGTTGTTCAAAGATCGAAGTACAGTCAACATACAAAGAAATTTTCTACTGATTTATGACTCATCATTTGACTATGTCAACTATATTACGAACGACAACATGCTTGCAAACCGTATTTTTGATGGAGACTGTCATGACGAGTCCGTTTCCAGAAATATAATGTTCTTTAAAAAAATTTTCGTTTGTAGAGCTGGGTAGAGCTCGTTGCACAGATCATTGTGATAAAAGAATATTCAAGTTTACTCAGAAAATCACGGTGCTAGAATCAAAAGACTCAAAAACTTTGACTATTTTTAACTGCTGCTAAGTAGTAGTTAATGTTATTGAGTATTTTGACTACAGCACCAGAATTTATTGAGCAGAATTGAATGTTCTTTTACCCAAATAATCAAAAACATGAGCTCTGCAAATTTCTACAAACAAAAAATCTTGTGAAAACCTTGTGCTTTATGCATATTGATAAAGTACGGAAGTCTCCATCAAAACTACGATTCGCAAGCATTTTGTCGTTGGTAGATGCTTCGACTTTAGCAATAGTGACTATCATATATATTTTTCGAAGTCTTTTGGATTTCCAGTGAAACAGTTACTGACAAGTGTTCGATAGAATGATGTGAATATAATAAAACAATTAATGTGAATAAACAGATAGCAAATGCTTTTTACACAAAATAAAAACGAAAATATGGCTCTTGCTAACTTGCTGACATGTAGATCAGACTAATTTATATAATCATGCCTGCAAAAAGAAAATAAGTGGCAATGGGATTCAATAATTCAAACATGGTTCTAAAACATAAATATATGTATATTCTCTTGTTTTTGTGCGTCATTTTGTTGGATCTTCATCCGGAAATATCTATTATGATATTTCTATTCATAAATTCACATTGCCATATGATATATTTTCATGAGATAAGTTTTCTATCAAGTCTTTTTTTCTCTCTATAATAGTAATGCATCAGCATTTTGTTAGGGTAACCAGCAACACTTCTGAGATATAGGTGAATGTATCGTTGATCTATATGTTTGCCATATGTCAGATGGATAACTTTGAAAGCTGTAAAAAAACAGTTGAGATTCAGCCAAAGGAACTATTTAATTTACAAGTAGAATATGCAAAGATTCTGCTAAACATATTTATTCAATGAAAATACTGGGCGTGTCTCTTTGTCAATTAGAGATAAGAGTCATAAAAAGAAAAGACAAGTAGATGAATATTTTCGTAATGCACCATTTTGGTTGTTAAAGGAACAGAACAGGGTAAGAGATATACAGAAACATCCAGAAGGGGCAATAAAAATGAAAGACGACTGTTATCAGTATAACTCGTAAGTTGTTTTTGAAGAGAGAGAGAAAAATATGCATGTTACAGATCACTATTTGCCGAATGCATATGCTATAAAAATACTTGAGCTATAGATATGCATCGACCTCTCGAAACGGAGGCAGCTGTGCTCCCGAAACACTTTGAGAGCGGTGATGGCGTGGTCGCATCGCACTTGCCTCGTTTTTGATATGGCTATCGCATGATTACAAGGGTGTGAGTCTGAATCTTGTCTCAACTCATACATCCACACTCAAACTTTTGTTAGCATTTCTCAGTTCAGACTTCTGACTGATCTTGCTATTTTCTTGCCAAAATCCTCGTTTAACATATTTGTAACCCCTAACAGAATTATAATAAGAAGATCGAGATGAGATCTTACCGTAAACCTAATAAAACCGCAGCGGCATTCTCTCGGCTATTCCTGTAAGAATTCTTGTAAAGGCCGACGATGAAACCTTTTAGGGGCCTGTGCTCATCTCTATTCAGAAAAGAATTTGAGCATGAACTTGAACAAATCCTTAAAATGATCATGTTTAGCAATGAGAAGCTCAGTAATTAAGAATTACTAAGGTTCGAGACAATACTGAGTAAAGCTTAACAAGACTGTTGAGACATAGGATCCTGACAAATCCTCGGAGGTTTTCTTGAGAAAGGAGCAGAATTTACAATAGAGAAACGATATTGTAAATAGAAATAGAACAATGCACATTTTTGTTTGAAAATGCTGAGTCTTACTCAATTAGACACTTCTGATATCGATCTTTCGAATTGTGAAAACCGCAGGTCTGATTGTTTTTTTGATACACAATACTAGAGTTCATTAAATATTCATATTTACTTTCTCTTGTCCTTGAATAGATTGTTCGTTGTTTTTTGAATCTCTTTGAGTTATTTTCAGTGTTTTATCCAGCGTGTAGGTGCTCCTCCGAAGATTAAGTTGACTCTCGCAGAGTTTGTAATACTTGTATCACGTACCATATGTCTCTATCCTCAAACATACGTGTTTACTCTGCAGAAGTTCGGAGTCACCCTTTCGGAAGAGAAAATCTTTTGGCCGATTTAATTTTTTAGCATTACAACGAATCCTAAACTGCGATTGATTAACACTACCTAACTGTTGTAATCCTTAATTTTATATAACATAAATTCTTTGTTTTACTTTCATTGATTAAATAATATTTATATGCATCTAATCATTCAAATACTATTTTTTTTTTCTCGATCAAAACAAAATTGTTGACCATTGTATTAAACAGCAAAAAATGAAAAAAGAAAAGAAAAAAGATGAATACTTTGCTAGCAATACAATAGCCTGAAACATGTAATTCGATGATGATAATAAACAAAGTATAAATAATATGAATAATCACCGTAGAAAAGAAAGTAAAAAGAAAAAAAAAATGTACAAAGAAAAGAAAAAGAAGACCTCGCCAGTGAACAATATTAGAATGAAAAAAAAAGCCCAAACCAATATGTAATATCATCACAGTTTACAAAGGAGGAATCTGACCTGGCGAGCAATAAAAGAAAAAAACAAAGTCAAAATGAATGACTAGTTAATTATAAATACAAGAGATTCAAATAATTCTTATTGTTTTAAATATCATGAAATTGAATTAATCGTTCTCTTAATGCATCGCCTATTGGTAAATGATTTATACTATCAATAAGTGGTTTTTGTAAATGTTGATAAAGATATTTGCTTGATATATATCGAAGTGAACATACAGATTTTTTTGATTTTTCATTTGAAAGAAAACTTTTATATAAATCTATTGATAAACGTTTGATTGGTATTTGTAGAAGCATATCTTTTGTTTTATTAATCATTGCTGATGAATGTAACATTGAGAAAAGATCGATAAATGGTAATAATAAACAATAATTAGTTATTTTTATTTGTAAACATAAATAAACAATAGGTAATTGTAATTGATCATTATTAATAACATCAAAAGTTGTATGATTAATAAATATAAGTATTAATTCATATATTGAATGTATTTGTAAACATGTTTGATGTATTGGTAGTAAATTAAGTAAAATAAAAAATAAGTTTTGTAAAGAAAGATCACTATCATTCAATGTTAATGGTGGTTTACGCGGCAAATTTGTTGTTGGTGATGATTGCAATAATAACGTATTCTCATTTGATAAACTTAAACGGCGAATAATAATTGCTAAAAATTGTTGCATAAATAAATCTTTTCCAATAAGACTTGAACATAAGAAATTTGGATTTGTTATCCATAATTGAAATAAATGCGTTAACGTATTTTTATTTATTTTTAATGGTTGACATTCATATTGTAAAAGGACATGAACGATTGAAAGTATATCTGATAGATCATCATTGTTTATATGTATAAAATAAAGAAGTTGTATGAAACGTTCAATATTACATTTAAAAGAAAATAAACGATTTTTTGTTTGATTTAATGAAGAAATTAACATAATTATTAAACGTTTAAGATATTTCATATCAAAAATAGTTGTTATTATTGATGTTAAACGTTTAGCAAGATCAAGTAAAGTTGATAAAAGACAATCAAGACTATTTCGATATGAACCAGCAGATATATCAATACGAGCTCCATGTTTGATTAAGGTTTCAATTAGAATTAAATATGATTTACGCCATTTTTCAACGATCTCTGGGTCATATATTGGTAGTAATGTTTTCATTGATTCAGTATTTATACATACTAAAATGAAAAAGATTCATTTTATTATTTATATACTTACTAAATTTATTAGTTCATGCAACAGATAAAACAAAACAATTATAGGGCACACCGAAAAATCGAAGAAAACTTACTAATTACCTTAGAAAAATAGCTTAA